GTGTTGAACGTGATTTTTGGGATTTTGTAGTTTACAAATTATGTGATAATTTTGATTGAGGTTAAAATACATTTTGGAAATCTAAAACAACATTATTTTTACAACAAAAAAAATGCTAAAAATGATATTTTTTTTTAGAAACGGAAAGAGTGTAAAGAACCTTAAATCTTATTTCTTAATTTACTTGATTATGGTTAAAATGACACAATAGCAAGGAGACGATTCGTAACTGTTAAGAAAATTTTATTAGTGAGCGATTATATTCACTCTTCCAACCATAGTTCTGACAGTGTAAATGTAAAGATATGGAAACAGAGAGAGGCAACAGACCAGATTCCATGTTCACAACTAAAACTAGAAAGACATGTTATTGATCATCCATTCGAGAAAACAGCAGAGATGAACCCAAATCCAAATATCATTTTATCACCGATGAACCTTGACAAGCAGAAGTCCTCTATTCCCACTGACCAGTTTCTCATTCTCAATCAGATCTCGCCTGTCAAAACAAAAAAATTAATACAGTCAAGTATGATTAACACAAAGGCAGATTATTATTGCTAAGGCACTCGTGCGACCCAAGACGCTACATGACTACTCAAGAATTTATGGTTTTTTTTCATTACTTCTGTTGTTGATTTGGTATTCATGAAAGAACAAAAGATGGAAGAGAAAACTTCTTCAGTTGCGGCTATTTAAGACTTACGGGTGAAACTGGAGAATTTGATCTTGATATTGACCTTGACTGGGACCTGCAGCAAGACCAAACAAAAAAAAAACCCATGTCACTGTGGCTCACAAAGCAATTTACTGACCGTCTCCCATCTAGTCTCGGGAGTTGAAGTGATGGCCTACGAAAAAACTCAGACAGAGAATCCAGCACTGTCAAAAAGATTAACATATTGAGGAATCATAATCCAAAAAGTCATGATCAGATCCTACAGCTGATACGCGCCGAGTACCAGACCACACCGAAAAACAGAAGTTTATGTTCATGCTAATCCAACTTTGAGTCCATTTAGATGACCCATCAAATCCCTAAGATCCAGTCCCCAGCTCGCCGCAGTGAGCCAGATCTAGAAAACAAACAAGGCAATACAATTGTAATCACTGTATATGATCATGGACAGACCTCAGAGATCCAGATTCATATCTTGCCCTACCAATAGAAAACAATTTTTTACAAAAGAAAACTTCTTGCTGTGTGATCAGTGATAAATTCACTGTAGTTGGTAAAAAGTTGAGAGTAAATCATATCTGAAGGAATGAATCCAGGAGAGGACGACACGAAGAGAAAGGACACAAGATATCATTTCAGAAGGCATGACTTGGGAGCCAGCTCTGTCAATAACTTATAGCATACAAAAACATTCGGGTTGTAAGGAACGGAAAGGAACTCTGGAAAACCCAAATGATGAAGTAAATTTCACTGACACTGGAGGTTGTGTGACATAGAAAACTTCAACATAGGTTAATCCCGCCATTAAGGACTGAATATCAGGTAATATAATTCATGGGAAGACAATCAAGTGGCAGTGACTAGTCCTACTAACATATAGCTTGGCAGGGAAAAAGGGTCAAACAAATTGAAATGTCGGCAAGAACAACAAAAGGTCCTTAGTTGTAACTTGCAAGTAATTAAGTAAGTGAGGAGTTCAATAGGCAAGAACTAGCAATTCATACTATGTGATAATGATATATACTAAATGGAACACCCATACCTTGAGACAGAGCTATATGGCGAACGAGAACGAGAAATGGACCGTGAACGCGGGGAAACAGATCTAGCAGGTGACAAACTGCATTACATTTCAAAGGTTCAACTCTCATAAATAAGTTACAACATTAACGAATAACGATGCCTTTTATTGCTTTAATTTCATGGAAAATTAAAACAAACAGACCTCCTGCTTCTGCTACTATAGCTATAGCTTCGACCACGGCTCCTACTCCTGCTTCTGGAATAATATGGGCTGCGACCCACACTCCTCGACTCATATTCTCTCACCTGAACAGTAGAGTTAGAGATGACTACATATCCATCCGATGAATGAAAAAATCAAGAAAGGCAGTACAACATACCCTTATATAAGCTCTAGAGAAAGCATTTCGAAACTCAGAGTCATTGAGTTTCCTTATCTGTTAAACATAAAGGGAAGGGAGCATCAAAGATCTAAAACTGGCATGGAAAAAGATAACCCACCCCAACACGTTACGAAACATAAGTGCCATCATCTCAAGGCAGAAGGCTGGGAACATTTCGTTGCAAAGTTATACAACTTACCGCATACTTCATATCATCATAGTTGCTATAATCCACAACTCCAGACAGGCCTACAAAAAAAACTTGAATGTGAGTCATGCAGTTAGGGTGCCTAAACACCTTAATCATGAATCATATCTATTTTCTTTCACAAACACTAAGTCACGAATACATCTCTGAGAAGCTTATTTAAACAATTAGAATGTCGACTCACCTCCACGGTCACGAAAAACGTCAGAAAAGACTACATCTCCAGCTTTGCGCATGTGATCCTAATCGCCCATAAATAACAAATAACATTAGTTCACAAAAGATAAATCCAACATGAAACAGAGAACCAACATCCAGACAATAGCATCCCTTACCTTAAGGTCTTGCCACGAAGCAGACGGTGGTAATCCCGTCACAAGCACTGTATGTTTACAACATAAAAGCTAGTAAAATGAGCTTTCGAATCCCAAACTTTTCATAACGGCAAATAACACAATCTGAGAAAAGAGTCTACAAACCACGATAGTCGGACCGTCTCGAAGGTACACGGCTCCCACTGTAGCTGCTGCTGTACCTATTCACTGATGATGAACCTCCTCTACGACCACTACGTGCAATCTCAACCTATAAAAATATCAAAGTATCACACAAAGATAACATCTTCATAAGAAATCAGATAACAAAAGTTCAACACCAATGCGTTTACTAACCCGTAATCGACACCCATCAAAATCATATCCATCCCGTCCATAAATTGCATCGTCCGCATCACGAGGATCTTCAAACTGCATCAATTTACAGACTTTTGGTCATTAAATTACGCGATTTCAAAAACCACCCCTAAGCTCCTTAACCAGAGAGAATCATAAATACCTCTACAAAGGCATAACCAGGAGGTCTCGGTGGAATCTTCAAATCGATGTCAACAATTGGTCCGTACTGCAACGAAGATACATACATAATCGCCGATCAAAATTGAAACCCAAAACATTAAAAAAACTGAAATTTCTTTGTTATAAGAAAAGAGAATTTTTAAAACCTTGTAGAAGAGATCTTCAACTTCTCTCATTCGAATATCTCCGGGCAAATTCCCAACGTAGATCGTTCGATTCCATCGGCTACTCATCTGACCTCAAAGCACAACAAAAAAACAAAAGTTAATTGAAAAATCGATAATTTGATAGAAGAAATTAGTCCCTTCAAAGAAATATTTGAAACTCACATTCGCT